ATGTAAACTACCTGGAAGGACTTTAATTCCCAATGATTTCATTCAGATTTATTTCATTCTGAATGAGAAGCCATCATGTAACCGTGCCCATTGTATTTTTTTAGGCTTATAAATATTGTCCACAGGACAAATGTAAAGCTCTGGGTAACACTCCACTAAAATGATTTAACTTCTCCTTCATATTAACCATTGACTGAAATTTATGGAAGAATGGAAAGAAATCTGCTGGCTGTGATATTTTTGTGCGTGCTATTACGTTCCACAAGTTCAACTTTGTTTATTTCAGGGCTCAGCCATTGTTCCTTGTAAAATAGGCGCTTGGGAAAATTTGCACCCCATTTCAGCAATTCTCTTGATTTTGAGCATTCTTTCTGTATGTCTGCATTGACAACCATAAATGTGAGTGTGCAAATCCGTGGCTTGTGTCCCGGCCCTAAATTGTGATTAATGAGATCTTCAATTGGTTTGAGATTATCCAGTTTTCTGAGATGCAATTAATACATAAGCTCTTCTCTGTCAGGTATGAAAGCTAAGACTGTTACTGGATCGTTTGTTTTCTTGATATACTAATAAATGTATTGAATTAATCACCATGGACTACTTACTATTGTTTGGCCAGCTCAGAGGTCACATAAAAGGACCTTTAAGCTGGGAGAGTAAACTGAGTAAATCAAACATTAATGAAGAATTAGATTTAGGATTCCAAAGCCAGTGTCTTTTTTTGGCAGTCTTGAAGATTTGGGGCTTGTAAAGTTTATTAGAGTGTTTAAAGATTAGGTTGTTAACGTTCTTTGGAATGGTCAAACTGAAGCAAATGGATATCGCATAGGATATGAGCAAGAGTTAGTGAAGAAATACAATTAAGCTGAGAAAACAAAGGCCAATGGGGTCAATCTGTACAGCTGAAGATCTGTAGACAATCATTCACCCTTAAAACATATGTCCTCTTGTATGCTTGAACACATATCATCTTTTAGGTCTTTTATCTGACTGGTGCTTTCTCATCCAGATGCCTGCAACTGTCCAGCCACTGAAATACATATCCATATATCTGTTTGGATGTTTATACATGGATGGTATCCAATGCAGTGTTGCATTAGCTCTTCTGGCTGTCTTGGTCAGGATCATAGTGGCATGAGAGCAAGCTGTCACGTAATAATTCCTCCTTTGTTTCCCTCAAAATAGAAAAGCATTACGGCCTATCTACTTAAGTGATTTGAGGATGTTTAATCTTCATGCCACTCTTTGTTTTACGGCAGCAACACCTCTTTGGCACCTGACCAGACTGAGACAGTCCATAACAAGTAATAGAAAATATTTTTTGGCACCGGTCTCTGCCTTTCCCATAATCTCTCCATCACCTCGCCTCATATTACACCTCCTGCTGTCTTTGTGTTAGTTTTGGCTCAATGCAGCTTATTGTTTCTTTCAAATTTACCAGAGGACTTTTTGTGACAGCATGATTACACTGAAAAAGGTCAGTAAGATAACAGTTTATAGCAGTATCAGGGAGATATTGTATCACAGAAATCCTAACTGTTAACTTTAATAAAACGTTAAAGCTCATATCAAAAACTGATATCTTTTGAGTATGCCTAGAGGAAAAGCAGCACCCTACAGCTCACATCCTCTACCCAGTGATGCTCATGGTCCATGTTTCATGACCCACACGTGTAAAATTAGATTCAAGAGTAGGCGGATCACAGGAGGTGATTTGATATTCAGAGTCAGTTATGTTTCATGTTGACAGCAAGCTGAATGCCTCTCAACCAAAAACAAAATCTGCCTCACATACCACATGAAATGTCTACATTTTTGTTGAAACATCTTAACTGAGAAAATGGATACATACACTCACTGTGAGATCTGAAGTTTAGTCATTGAGGATAAACAAACCGAAGCACCAACACTAGAACATTCCTGTTGGGTATTGCCAGTGCTGCATATTCTAGGAATGAGTCTCACAGTGGAATCATACAGTGATATTTATTGGTGGGGAGAATAAAAACATGCTTGGTTTGGATATCTGGAGAGCCAGTTTGTTTTAACCCTTCAATGTCTCTATGGCGTAGACCCAGATGGTACTAATCTCATTACGGGATAGCCATGTCATAGTAGCCTAAACGTGGGCGAGCTCTAGTTGTATCTGCAGACCTTCTTCATTCTCAGCAATATTCTTTGTTGGGAGGCGAAGGTCATACTATGTGGTGTCACCTTGATCTTGGTCAAAGTTCAGTCTTGGAAATAGGGCTGTACCCAAATATTCGAATATTCGTTTCTATGGGTAGGTATTCGTTATGAAAATCTGGTATTCGATATTCGTTTTTTTATTTACTTATTTTTTTATATATATATTTTTTTTGGTGCTAAATGTAGTCTTTTTGTTGCTGGTAAATGTAGGTTATCAATAAAAATCAAAACTTTTAAATTGCATTGTTAAAAATGTGAAAATATAGTGTAGCCTACTGAGCTTGTGCGCACGGCACGCTTGAGCGCATCCGTCTGAGGCAGTGGATCAATGCCAAGTTTTACCACTTTATCACTATTCCCTCTAACTTGTAGCTGTTTTTCGTTATCTTTTGAATTTAATATGAATTATGGAACCGCTTTTGTCAACATTTGTTTCCACCGTTTTGTACAATAAATTATTGTTTAAAGTTTCAACAAGTTTCTTTTGGAGTGCGTGACAGAAGTGTGTTTTTCGTATGCTGTAAAGCCCTGTGAGGCAAATTGTGATTTGTGATATTGGGCTTTATAAATAAAATTGATTGATTGATTGGAAACGACCGCGGACTGTCACCTGCTCAACGCATCAGTACCTTCGGATGCCATGACAGTAATAGATTATAGATTAATAGATTATAATAATAATGTCAAAATATCATTTACAGACCGATTTAACAGACGATCACTGCTGCCCTACCCGCAGGTCCATTTGGGGTCCCGTGGGTTATGGGTCGACCCGCGCATCACTACTCAGCTCAATCTATAAAGGCTGTACACACAACAGTAAGGCTATAGACATTATATTCCTCAGGCCGGCAGAACCAGCAGCGCATCGGCTCTACAGTGCACGGCACTGCTGATTAACCATTTTATTGCAGCACAGAGTGTCTGCCAGCAACCAATTACTTGCAGAGGCTTCCTACAACTTGTTTCAACGGTTCCGATTTAATCAGAAGACAAATTAAACAGGATGACTAGCCAATGTGAAAATCAAAAGAAAGCATAGAATAATGTACTGAAGGAGACTGTTGTGCCATCACATTTTTTTGTGGTTTGAGAGCAAAGATCCGGTCGCCGCTGTGCAAAACTCCGCAATACAATTAGGTCCGAAAAAACCCCGGAGTACCCCCACCTCCGTGAACAAATATTCGAATATTCGTTATAAATTCTGCTGAAGGTCCAAATGTTAAAAAATGGTATTCGGGACAGCCCTACTTGGAACCCATCGGCTGTAGTAGGCTGATGGATATCTGGGCAAAGACTTCCTCCTTTGTGCAGCAGTCATTTTGGCTAATCTCTACAAACATATATTGGCATGTGAATGCAGATACTTCAAAAAAAAAAAAAAAATCTAATATAAAGCTAAATCATGGTAAGACAATAGCCAATGGGTTCCATGGTTGCATTTCGGGCAATGCGTTTCTCCTCCCCCCGTGGACTGATCACGTGCATCTTAAATGTGATTTGTCAGTACTGCTCGGACTACAGATGAAAACCAGAGTGCTTCTGATACCAAAATATTGCTTGCAGATTCTGGATAGACAGTATTTAATTTGACCCAGAATTCTATGCCAATATTTTAGCTCAGATTGATGATGTCAAATGTGAGAAAGAAGTACTCTCCATTGGTAAGTAAGTGTGGTTTGATGATATAAAACTATAGAGAATGAGGAAAAAGAAAACAGATCAGAGTGATATTCTAAGTTTTGAGAATACCCTGGTGGTGCATTGACCCATTGTTTGACACTGCTAACTTAAAAACAGTGATCACAAAAACTGGCCATTAATTCAGGGAATGATGTACCCCTCTATATCATTCAGCCAAATTTTGGCTGGCTTTTTAAAGCCATAAAACACTTACTTGAAACCCCTTAACAGTGTTTTTCTGTCATCAAATAAAATTTGCTTTGACCTATGAGTCTTCTGATAATATTTTTGAAGTATTGGGTTCTGTAGTCTGGGTACGATATCAAAGAAACTTCCAAACACTCCTCTTTCAAACATTCAGTTGCATCAAGTATTTTATTCCTAACTCTAAATCTTTTGGTTAGATGTGCAGATCCACTTTAAGAAAAGCACATAAGAGAAAGAGAGAGTGCACTTAAAGGTCATTGGTCATATTGCCATGTGTCTTTTTATTGGCTTCAGCTGCTGGAGGATGGAGGATACAACATACGCATGAACATACACAAGCACAAATACATATCTATACATATATATGGTAACAACTCTACAAGAGGAAGCACACTGATGTCATTAAGAGACATGACTAAAGGAGACATAAGGGGCCAAAGTGATGGAACATAACATAATTCGATGAGACAAAGGGAGGATACAAAATATGCTGAAATAGAAAGAAAGACTTTTAAGACAAGTGAGTTTTAAGAGAAAGAAAAGACTGATCCAGAGAAGTGGTGATCAGCACAGATCAGCAGATCTAAGGAACCACTGCTCTCTGGCCTTTGAAAATTATGGAAACAGAAATGTTCCACTATGTCAGTGTTGCCTTGCTGCTAACAGCCCCTTTGCTGCAACAACACATGAAGTAGAGGGGAAAAACCATACCATCTGCTCAGGACATTCCTAATCATTGGCAGACCTTCCTTTATTGGCCGAATTCCTTGTAGGAACTGCTGATTTGTAAAAATGTGAACCTTTCCTCTCTGGCCTCAGCTATCCTGTTGCGAGTAATGTAAACGGCATGTTTATGTACACTGTATGTGTGTGTCAATGCTTTGTGTGCTAATAAGTCTTAATTTATTGCGGTGTTTTAGATGGAATTGCTGGACAAATTCCCAGTGGAAGGAGGCCAAAAAGACCCTAAGCGCAGGATCATTCCATTCCTACCAGGTAAGAGTTAAACACATTGTGTCCCCCAAGGCCCTTTAATGAACATACACACAGAACTCACGCAACTGTAGCTTGTTTGGAGGATTTGCTTTTTTCTCCCATTTATATAAACACCTTTTGGGGTTTAGACTGTTGGCTGGACAAAGATTAAAAGATTAATCAACTAATCCAGAGAACGTACAATGAAAATAATTGTGGCAGACATGCTTATGATAAGATGTTGCCAAATTATGCACATAACAATACAAAAAGAACAGTGAACTCCTTGATATTCTCCCTCTGCTATACTGCTGTGTCCTCATCTCATCCCTGCTTTGTTTGATTTCTCCATCATACCCATTCGCACGCATTGGGTTACAATGTGGGCAACAATGAGTCACTGATAGGCTGCGAAAGAAGTGAGAAAAACAGAAAATTTTGCACACAAAAGAACCAACCAAAACATTTTGCTGCAACCATGATTGGTCATAACCACACTTTTTTTCTGTGATACATCAAAGAATATGTTTTCCACATACTCTTAAACATCTAGCTGACTCAGCTGATCTCTCAGCATGTAGCCTACAGACATAGACAATTATACAGTATAGTGTTGAGACATTAAATGCCATTTTAACATAAGAAAACTCTACCTATGATCATTAAACTAAATTGTTACAATGCATAACATTCATTATAAGCTGTTTTTGGCTTAGCTGCACCATTGTCCTAGCTGAATCATCATTTCGTGTAAAACCTGACAGTTTCCATTACTTCCCTACAAGTACAAGTGGCAGTGAAGTTTGTTTAGAGTAAGGACTTTGGGTGCGCTTGACCAACTTTTGAAATAGTTTGAGATTCAGATCCTGCTGAAAGTAATCCTTTATGAGAGTTTGGGAGAAGGCCTCACCCAAAGACCCCACCCACATCTCCCCTACCAGGGTTTGGACGAGTGGGGGATAGGATTTTTTTGTGGCCACGCAGGTCTGGAACTCATTGAAATAATACACACACAAAAACACACACACACTTCCAGACTGTTTGATGAACTCTAAGTAGGAGGAAGGGAAGAGAGATTGAAAAACACTGCTTTTCATGCTAACCCTGACAGTACTCTCCCCACATACAGTCAGACAAAGCATGAATACTATTACTAATAATTCTCATCTACATTAAACTCTGTCCACTTCCTTCCTGCTTTTACCTTTGGACCCTGAAATTCTAGATTGTCTCTAAAATTTCTCTCCTCCTGCAGTGAAACTCTGAGTGTTGGTAGAGGGTTTCACTTCTTCTGTTTTCTGTGGAAGAAAATGACCATTGAAGTGCCCTAGAGGAAGACACCAAATCCCCATATGCTTCTTTGGAGCTGCCAAACACCAGAAGCTTAAGACTGTTTGTGCTCCACATGGCTCCCTCTAGGAATGCCACTGTGGAACCATTTGCTTTTGTGGCACAATGTTGCTAGCAAACATCTTTTATGCTCAGTGCTTGCAATAAGTGAAGTTCACCATTACTAGTCTCAGACCCCAGATCAGATATGATTCTCTTAAATAGGTTCCCAAGCAGAAATTTGCCAGATTTGTTCTCTGACAGCCAAGAAAATCCTTCAGATACTTAAGAAAAGTCTGGACTGTGTGCTGAGAACAACCTAACAAGGCACGGAAGTGGTTTTCCCTCCTCGGTTTGGTTTGTTCAAGGCCCTGAGCTGTTTTTACTCCTTTGGTATCTCCACATCAGCAAAGTGGCTTGTCTGCATGTGTGGATCGTGCAGAATTTCTGCTGCCAAAGCTTAGCTGTTGCATTTTCATCCCTTGCTGCAAAAAATACATGATTACATTGGGAAAACACACAAAACGTATCAAGATGACATTTAATAGCAAAGGAAAAGGAAGTTTAAAATAGTTCAAACGTTGGCCGTTTCAACCCATAACTTTTTTCATACAGGTGGTCTACTCTTTTCTAATGCCAAGATTGAATAGTATGTGCTGAGTATCTTTAGGCCATTTGTCATCTGAATACATCTCATGCTGCTAAAACCTTTTGATAGGTTCATACATGACATTTAGATAAAGGTGATTTTTTTTTTTAATCTATTTCCCCCAGAGCCGTGAGCGATGCTCTTCAAAGCAGTGTCAGCAGGTCAGCCTTTGAAAAAAGAGCTGATACCAATTATCTAAAGTCAGGGTTGTTAAACTATGGGTCAAAACCCATGATGGAATGTGGGTCTGTTTTTTTTAGGGCCCCTGCATGATAAAAGAGGTGATATTCTTTCATGAGCTCAGATCCAACAAGCAGACTATAAATTTGTTGTTCGGGGTTCCATTTTTCCTGTTTCCTCTTAATGATAGATCTAAAGTAGGTACTTTTTCAGCTTTTCTGTTTGGCCGGGGATCTCTCTGCCTGCCACAGTAGGAGGCACAGAATGTTGGGCAGGTCAAATTATGTTTCTAAGGAGGATCTGAATAACATTCTCCATTCTGTGCTCTTTTAAAGGCAGAAACGCAATATAACCAGTTACAATGACCTTGGTTTTTAGGCCTCATTCATATCACGTTCATCTCATCTGCTGAGCAATCACTGCTCTTGTCAACTTGAATGTGGTGCACCAGTAGCAGACTTGTGTTTTATGACAGCTTATGGAGATGCGTCTGGCCTTAGTCAGCAACTTGCCTAAGAACACAGTAATTATCATACGCACACAGCTCATTCTTAGAAGCTTCACTCATGTTTGTTGAAGTGTTATGTAGAGCTTTTTGGGGCACGTTACTTCAGACAAGCCCAAGCCTCATCTAAGTCTTGAGTCAAGTTTCAATTCATTAACCAGCAACCAGTGCAAGTCAGTTAAGTTTTGTAACAGCAAGTCTCACTTCTTGTCTTGTGTTATTTGAGAGGTGACGTAAGACTTACTGTTAGAAAACTTTGCAATTGACTCCAAGTCAAATCTAAAGGCTTGTAACAGCAAGTTTTAAGTCATCTCAACTCTTCAAGACCAGTTCAAGTCACTTCTGTAATCGCAGGTACCATGTCAAGTTTTGTGAAAAGCGAAGTCCCAAACAAAGCCCGCTTATCATTGTCCAAAGAATTTTTTAATGTTTCCTGGATTTACAAGGTCAGAGTCGGTCAGACTTGATCCCCACCCCCAAGTCTCAAGTCAAGTCTTCAGGGAGTCAATTATCAGAGCAGTCCAGTCCTAGACAATACAAGTCCTAATTTTTGTGACTTAAATCTGACCAGAGTCCATGAATGAAGTCCAAGGCTTTGGTGTTATGTAAAGGTTTTAGCTTCTCAAAATCCCTCTGACGAGCCTAAATAGGGTGAAAAACAGGAAGAATTCATGTGTGGTGAGTCCAGTGATTAAGAGGTGAGTGGTGAGAACAGCTTTCTGTGTGTGAGGTGTGTTTCAAAGACCCTCTCTGTGTTTCCACCTCTGTCTGTCTCTCCTCTCCATCTAACTCCCTCACTCTCCTCAGGAAACAAAAGTTGTTTGATACCCTTGGTCACTGCTGGCTCTGAGATTTGCCATAAAGTCTGCCCTGCCTCAGCCGTGGCTCCAAGGCAGCAGCTTTCCTTCCCTTCCCTCCTCCCTCCCCCAACAGGCCCTTTTCTCGGCTGCACCCATGAGCTGCCCTGCATACAGAGTGGGCAGTGTTGAGTCAGTGCTTCTCTCCTGACCCCTGAGAGCTTTGGAAAACCGTCAAGAAAGCTTTCTCTTTGAGGAGTGACGAAGGGAGGAAAGGAAGAAAGAGACAGAGGGAGAGAGAGGACGGGAGGTACTGTAGGCGTCGCAGGGTTGACTTTCAAATCTCTTTAGTTTTCATGAGCTGTCCAGACAGTGTGTCCTTTTGGTGGCTCTGGCAAGATGTTGCCAACTCCTTAGAGATTTGGACTGCCATCTCTCATTCCTCTTCCAGTTAATCTCCTTTTTAATACTCTCCCTCAAGTATACTATACTTCACTCCAGCACAAATGTGGTTAGAAATTAGTCTGGTCAGACCATGCATTTTGCCAACAGTAAAGGTCTTTGGTAACTTAAATCAAAAGTTTTTATCATGTTGTGAGCAGTCCATCCAATGATTGTCAATAATAATACACACAAAAAATTCAGCCTGCTGATGGTGCGAGATTAAAGGCAGGCGATCACTAAATTCATTGTGAGAAATTGTCTGGGAACCAAAAATGTCTTTACCGAATCTTGTACCAATCCATCAAGTAGATGTTGGGATATTTCATTGTTTAAATGGGACCTTTGACCACAGTCTTCAGGATTCATCCCCTGGAGGCCTTGAATATCTGTACCAAATTTCATGGCAATCCATCCAACAGATGTCAACACTGCTGCAATCATTGTTGATTAAACTGTTGATTCTTTTTTCAATTGATTGATTACTTGTTTGGTCTATAAAAAGTGAGAAAACTGTGAAAAAATGTTGTTGATTGGTGTTTCCCAGAGCCCAAGATAACGTGCTCAAATGTCTTGTTTTGTCAACGATGCATTGATTTTAGGCATACTGTCATGGAGGAGTAAATAAACCAGAAAATAATCACATTTTAGAGGCTGGAATCAGAGAATTATGTTGGGTCGTCCACCAATCAGAAGATCTGTGGTTCTATCCCCGGCTCCTCCAGTCTGCATGTTGGAGTATCCTTGGGCAAGATACTGAGCCCCAAAATGCTCCTGATGGCTTTTCCATCGGTGTGTGAGTAGCAGGTGGCACCATGTATGGTAGCCTCAGCCATCAGTGTGTGGCTGTATGTGAATGGGTGAATGTGACATGTAATGTAAAAGCGCTTTTAGTGGTCTGAAGACTAGAAAAGCTCTATACAAGTGTAGTCCATTTACCAATTACTAGTCAACACATTCCACTTTAATTCAAAGTTATCAACCTGATGGTGGCACAAGATCAAGGTCACAGTGAAGGGATCATAAGTTGGTAGGATTCATCCTCTGGGGACCTTGAATATCTGTGCAACATCCATCAAATGGTTGTTGAGATAATTACTCTAGCGTGGCCAATGAAAATACAAGTTCCAAAACAAAAGCCACAAGGACAGGAGCAACAGGAACATCCATTGTTTTGAAGATTGGACTTTTGACTCACAAAATTGACCTGCGTATTTATAGCAGGTTTCTTAACCCTGACGTCTTTCAAGGTCTGTCTGTTTGATACTATTGTAGGCTCCATTCTTAACACATCATCATGGAGTGTATAAGTATGATTTCCTGTGGGTTTGCCTTTGTATCTGAGTCAGCTCGTACATTGCAGTCAGAGCTGAGATGGTTGCGTAGAGTGCAGAGGTTGGGGTCTTTTGACGTTTGGTGTTGGTGGTTGTGGTTATTGTGTGAAATGTGTGAGATCTGAGGTCTTCTGAAGGAAGTCGCCACACATCCATCCACTCAGCAGTCTACACCTCTACACATTTAGTCCTTTATTCACAAGCAGTCAATCAATGGTACAAATATTCATAATCACTGTGATGATCACAAGCGGCCTCTGTGTGCCCGTATTTACTTCTTCGTCAATGTCGTCATTCACACAAACTGAGCTGTATGGGTCAAGGAATTAGAAAGGCATTTTTAGTAGCATGGGTGGAACTGTACAGGGTTTCACTGCCCAGCGGTGATCTCCTGTGAGATTCATGTTTCAGCAAGTCTGCTTTAAATACTCTCTAAACAAATACCATGACCCCTTGATGGAGGTGATACAGTAACTTCTCAAAACATGTCCCTTTTTGTGTTCAGGATCTTGTTACAGCCTTGACTTCCTGCCCAGTTTATATGTTTGTATTAGAGCTTTCACAGTGAATTTATTGGAGAAATTTCAGCAGCTTAAACGAGGGGAAAATGGATGCTGGCTCTGAAATTTCCTGCAAGTTAGAAGGGTGTTTTTAAGAGGCCTATTTGTAGCCATTTCTTGTTATTGTTATGGCGACCCAGCTCGTCTGTGCCTGTGGTTATTTGGGCCCAGAGATAAGAGCAGGGGAATAGCATTTAAGCTGTCATGCACACATAATTTGCTTTCCCGAAATCATTTATTCATGACTTGGAAAGGCCAGCTATTCACCTACCTCCTTACCCACCTCATTGTGCTGTCACTGTTATTGATGACACAACTGTATTGTGTCTGCATGCTAATTCTCTAACCATGTTTTGTAAAATGCCTCTGTGCCCTTATTGTCCCCCAGTGGATTCTTAACTTTTAAAAGTTGCGCCTGACAGGAGCATCATCCAAAAGCCTTCATGTTAATTGGTCATAATGTATTAATGCATGTAGCAGACAAATACATTCTATTTAAAATGATGATTAGAATACATTATATCATTTTGCCGCTGTGGAATACTGGTTGCAACAGTGGTATCTGATAGTAAGTAAGGGTTTTCTCAACTCTATTTGTCTTTCTTCATTACAGGGAAGATCCTGTTTAGGAGAAGCCATATCAGGGATGTGGCCATGAAAAGGCTAAGGCCCATCAATGAATACTGCAGGGTGAGTATACTGACCAGTACTTGAATTTTATGTCAAAATATCCTATTTATTGTAGTTAATGGAAGCTGCACTGAGGTAGAAAGCACAGTGGTCAGGGGAAAAGAGAACAAGTATCCCGCCTACATTGTGTCAACTCTGTCATGAACAGGAAAATGAAAAATAAACGTTCATGCCCTCTGTTTATAAAGTATGAGCAGCAGCAGTCACAGTTTCTTTCATCTTATTTCAGGAGAGCTTATTTATAGTTTAAAAATGTCTTAGTGTGTAATTTTGTTACTCCATTGTCCCAAATGTGTAGCCCCTAACCTTCATCAGATATTCCAATTGAAACTCATGGTTCTGTTCATTAAAGTTAAGCGCATAGCCACACTGCACGACTTGCATAACAACCAGATTTATAGGATTACATTGTTCCAAGAACAGCTGTATGAATAATGCCATTGCCCTTGCTTTGAAAATTGGCACTGTGCAGCGTGCGCCATGCTAAACTCCCTGGAGCAAGCCTCTGTGACAGCAGGCATCCACCCTGCTGAGGTGTCCTAAAAGCTCCCTAGGTGCTCTGTAGCAGACTCTGACCTCCCTGCTAAAAAAGACAAACTAAAGGAGAATATCTCTCAAGGGATCAATAGTGTATGGGCAAAAATCTGTTTCTGAGTACCGAAATGTGAATAAGATGTCCTTGTACCTCCCAGTTGTGCTGTAAACCTTCATGATCCCTCTGGACAAGATATTTATAAATGTACTTTATATGTTTATGCTGTTAAGTTACTGTCAGTGACAGAAGAAAGACAGGATGGTCTTTTGTGGAGTACAGAAGTAGGTTGTAATGCGTTGGCGGTGTCTCTCTTATCATTTCAAACACTGCAGCTTTTTCTACCAGTTAAAACAGAGATAATGTAAAAGCTGTGCACCATCCAACCCATTACATGGCTTTTTACCAGAGTGATTAATCACTCAACCCCAAGCAAGGAAAAAAAACCCAACTGTATATTTTCAGACTTCACTGTAGCATAACTGCAACCATAAAACTGCCAATAGCTAGCAACTAATTGCTCTAATTTGAGAAATGTAACCACAGCAACCTAAATGAAAACATGGTGATTGATGTTCAGCCTCTAAGTAACAAGAAATAGTTTCTTGCCCTTTAAATTAATTCAGAGTAGCAGTTTTTAAATAGACATTTTCTAAATTTGGTTTGCCAGCTGTTTATCTGCAGTGACTAAGGAGTGGGTCTGTTTTGCAGTCAGAGGTCATTATCTCTCATGATCATCTACAGAGGAAATATCTTGACCACAACGTCCAATGATTTAGGTGTGAGATAGTTCTCTGGTATTTGGAAATACCAGGGAGGAGGAGCAGTTGTTTTATCTCATGTTGTGGTGGTAACTATCAGCAGAAAGTTGCACCAAAGGCAAAGAGCTTGCTGGTGCTGAGCTTGCTCCAGTCAGCACATCCACAGCCCATAGGTTGTGTTTTTCTTACATTTTACAGGCTTGCCTTAGGGCCTCTAAACCATACACACCTCCATCTGTCTCTCAGAGAGAGGAAATTTGAGGATGTTTTTACAAGTTAGTTCTGACTTAGCCCTTGCTCATGCCTTCTTGTATTTTCAACTGTATCATTTTAATATGGGATCACCTCTATTTGCCATAAAGATCCTTATGAAACCATCATTGTATACAGTAGTTTCTAAATTAGGTGCTGACAGGTAGGGCTTTTGTCACTTCTGAATAATAATAATAATAATTCACAAGGCCTTGTAATGAAGAGAAAAGTTTTGTTATGATCTGCATCGTCAAGGACTGAAGGGACTGGTGATTGTACAGCTCTGCTCCACCAAATGTCGTCTGGGGTTAAAGGAATGTACAGCTGGTGTAGGCAACATCTTTAAACACTTAATGTGAAAATAAGTTTGGGGGAGGAATGGGTAGAGTTGTTGGTTCGTGTCTATGGGTGTGGATGTTTATGGGAATAGCACAGAAACTTTAACACCAGTGGTGTTGCTGTAGTTAAAGTTCTTATTGTGGAAATGTCTGACAAGTTTTATAGATTGCATTTACCTGCTGAGGATTGTGTAGTTGTGGAGTTGAACGGAACTTGATTGACACTCAGAGTCTGTGAGAATGATTCAGGGTTGAGGGCTCAGTGATGGTGTTATTTTCACATCATAATTTTACTGAAGAAAAAATAAAGATGTATAAGTCAGATTTGGGAATCTGTTAATATAACAGAAGAAAGTGACCAAAGGTGTGCAGGATTTCTGATTCCTTCTCATTTTTTGGCCATAAACACCCTTCTTCACGATTTTCGGAGTGCAGTAACTTTGCCAGCGTAGTTTTTGAGGACTGAGAGAGCATTGTGTGAGGTGGAAGTGAATACAATCCTGTTGGACTCCTTTTAAAATCCAGCAGTGGAAAGTCACAACTTGCCAGCCATGAACGGCGTCTGTCAGACATAGGTGATAATGATTTTAACCAACGTTTAGCCCTATGATAGCATCACTCAAGGTTGGATCTCAGATGCAGTTGTTACAGTAACTTCTGAAGCAAATCTGAACTTGACTGAAAGCATAGAAAACAGCATATGCATCCACCCCCCAATGCACCCATGTTGACAAGGTGAAACTTCGTGTTTTTCTTGAGGAAGAGCTGAGTCAGCCTTTCTGTTGTACAGCTGAGGCTTTAAACTGACTCATATGGAATTTCCCTGGTTGTAAAGTCTTATGTTTTTATTCAAGTCAGGAAACGCAGTCGGAGAAAAGAAAGAATGAAAGAAGAAAAACATGGAATCAGGGGTTGTTTGCATAAAGCAAGAGTAAGGCCGCTGAGCTGGGATGACTAGAAAGGTCACACAGCTTGATGAGATGCATCACATCAAAATGTATTTTGAGTAATAAAGCAATTTCAACTCAACCCTCATTCGTCAGTATTCAAATGATATAAACAAATAATGTGTTTTGTAATTAAAATCAATACGATTTTTGCATAAATAATACATCAAAATGCCCTTTATTCTTCTTTTGAGCGCAATTGCTCCAAACATTTAATAATTCTTTAACGTATTCACAGACAGCCCTTTTTGATTTTCAAAAATGGACACATTTTCAAAGTGGATGATGCCCTTTTGAGATGTAACAAATGCAAACATGTAAAACTGTAAACCCTTGTTTGTCAAGACCGAGGATCCCCACTTTCTCTACATGTGAAAAGTTGTTGTGCACAGACACAGTCACAATGTACAGTACCTTATCAGAGTGCACAAGTAGATCTCTCATTTCATTACCTATTTTTCCATGGAGAAAGAACAGACATGCGCACACAGGCGCACACACACAGGCACACACAATTACCTTAATGCTGGCTGCTGTAAAGAACACCCATAAAGTCCATTTGCTGTAATGTACCCTCAGTCTCCCTCCCGTCTCCTCCCCGGGGAGAATTGTAATGAGTGGACTGGCCACAGGCTGACACAAGGAGAGGAATAAATCCAAGGAGAAGATAGCCAGTTCAGGCCACACTCTGACCTCAGGAACAGTGCAGCGTTCTGGGCTGCGGGACTAGAGATTGGGAGGGGTCCCCTGGAGGTCACCAGTAAAACTCTTAAATCAGCTGCTTAGTGTTGTTGCCTCAATATGTGGTTGAAGCTGCAGTAAAAAGGGAGACTCTGAGGTCATGTCGGTGCATAATAATTCAGCAGTATATTGTACTGTATGTTCTATGAGTCAACAAACATGTGAGCACACGCAGTATGACTTTGAGGCTAATGGAAAACACTAGTTATGCTTTGTCCATGGCAGTAGTCCCACTCCTTTCATTAAACTCAAGCTGTTGGCATGGACATATAGAAGAAGTATGATGAGGCAAATGTGGCACGTGGGACAAGGGCACCTTGGTCGGGTCTTTGGCTTTCATTCCATATCTGTCAGCCGTGACGTTATATCAGCATGTCAGAGAGTGCGAGAGGTAGACAGAGACTCTGCTCCCGTAAAGGACAGAACTGAAACACTTAGGAGTATTAAAATCAGAAGTACAGGCCAGCAGAGGAAGTCTGATGGATGGCATTGAGCTTCGCCTGCCAGCAAAAGGAGAAGGAGTGGCCTAGCTGCCTCGGCTGTGTGAGAGATAGTCACCACGGGGTCGTTGGCGGCAGTTATCCTGTCTTCTGGTTTGGGGTATCAAGCTGTTGAGGTGATTATCTGTTTCACTGCTGCCCTTTAGTGGTTTGGTTGAGTGAGAGTGAAAAAGTGGAAGAAGCAGACAAAACACAGGCTCAGGAGAGAACAAAAAAGAAAGGGCTAAAAACGGAGACTGTGCGATAACATGACCAGACGTGTGTGCAAGACAGAGATCACACCAATAAAGAGAAAGCTGAACGTGGCTGTTTGTCTTTCATCTCCAGCTCTCGTTGTCAGGGCTCATCTCTGTGCTGTTAGTGATCCTCCACAGAGGCATGAGATGAGGGAGGAAGGTAGGCGAGACGGATCAATGAACTGAGAACTGGAGAAGAAACATGTGGTGTGATTGAAAACACTGCAAAGAGACAACTGAAAATGGCTCCTTTTACTTTTTGCTGGTGCACTTTTATTCTGAAATCATTCAACCTTTTGCTCTTCATCTTAAAAGTGAACACCAGTGGGGACGGTAGCAATAAATATGAGAAACAAGAAATGGTGTTAGAAACAAGGGGGTACATGTGTCCGCCCAGTTGCACAATATGTTCATCATTATTGCGGCTAATGTAAAATAGGCCACACCTATAAGAATGTGGCAATCAAACACAGAGTGGCATATTAAAAAGCATGAAAAGTTTTTCGAGGTCATCGAAATGTTTCATGTACCAAATGTGGAGAAGATTGGATAAAAATGTATGGGAGGGGTGCTGAAACAACAATTCTTTGGGGAAAGAAAATCTAAATAGTGGAAAAATGTGTTGAGGCAGAAATGGCCCGAGGCTTTTACAGATGTGTTGCCTTGAAACCAGGAGGAGGAGGTGGAGAAGGAAGAACACAATTTTACTTAAACAAGGTAAGGAAGGGTAAAACTTTGTCCCCGAGGGGCAATTTTAGATACAGACAGTAGTCATGGGTACAGAAAAACACAGAGAAAAACACACAGAGTCCAGTATCACACTGTCAGGGGTAAATCATGGACAGTTAGTGGTCACTGCTGGTTGAGATAAACGATAGCAGACAGGACAAAGGACGATCTGTAACGCTTTGTGCTGCGTATAGGGACGCAAAACATCCGCCCTGACGGAAGCAACTCAACATGGAGGGGACACTGAGAGTCAGAGACAATAGGCAGAGCCTTAGAGGTGACCCTGTCTTAAAAGTAACACCGGTGATCTTACAGCACAACTTGACCACTTTTTCCAACTTGTTCTCGTTTTTAAGGCTCAGATTACCTCAAACCAACAGACGATGTTGAGAGAAAGAACAGACTCAATAAAAGCTGAATAGAACATTTTCACGATTGTCTTATCTACATCGAAACTCCTCAGCATCCTTAAGAAGAATAGGCGTTGGTTTGCCTTCTCACAGATGCTGTCAGTGTTCACATCAAAATTCAACTTGTCATCTGAGACAGTGCCCAAATATTTGTACTGCTGCACTGCTGCCACCCACTCCCCCCCGATCACACAAGCAAGGAGCAGGAAGGCAGGGCCTCCTCCGAAAATCAATAAACATCTCATCCGTCTTCAACACATTAATGTGGAGAAAAGACTGGTCACAGCAATTAACAGATTCATCCAGTACTGGGCCTTGGTCATGTTCTCCAAGAAGAAGACTTACAATAACAGAGTCGTCAGCGTACTTAAGGACAAATCTTGATGCGTGATTGCTCTGACATTCATTTGTGTATAAAGAAAATAAAAGAGGAGAAAGAACACAACCCTGAGGGGATCCAGTAGAAGAAAAACAGGTACTGGACAGTGTCCTGTTAACCCGGACCCTCTGAGACACACAACACACACAAGGCTAAAATCCAAATTAAATTAGATAAGTCTGTGAGTTTAAACATGTGGCTGAACACCATTAAAAGCAGAAGAGAAATCAATAAAGAGCAAATGTGCATGATTCATATTTCCCTCCAAATGTCTCAGTACAAGATTTAACAAAGTAGCTGTAGCGTCCTCTACTCCCCTTGTTGCCCTCTATGCAAACTGTAAGTCCTGTACAGCATGTCCTGTACAGTATCAGAGTTCAGATTCACTCTTTGTGAGATAAGAGCAAGAAAGGGAATAGTTTTTTAAATGGTTGCATATGCTTTGAGAGTGCGAAGTGAGAGTGAAAGTCTGCTTACTAGTCAACTAGAAATACTGTTATCTGTAAACAAACAGAAAACATATGTGACATAGCACATCGTCTCCCTGTGAAGTGAAGGAAAGACAGCTGTTGACTCTTAACTTTTACTCCTGTGAGAGAAGAATGTCCCCCTGAGAGCCTGTGTCCTCATATGTGGACATCACATTTTGGGTTTGCTGCATCTTATACTTCTACTTAACTTAGACCTATTGTCCTTGCTCGTGGACATTTTTTGTGCCATCCAGTGGTAGTAAGAGCACAATACATTAATAAAAAACAAGATGGCAGCCATCTCTGCCAAGTCAGTCTGCAGCCGATTCAGACACAAAGGTGGACAAGGTCCAAAACCTGATCACATTTTATGGTTGAAAGTTGTTTAATTATGATTAATGATGTTTGTAGTTTGATATGGCGACAAATTTGACCAATATTGGCAACAGTAACAAGCTAAGACGCTGTTAATTAGGAAGGACTCGTTTGAAGACATTGGGACTTTATTATCATTTTGTTTGAGGACACTGGGACTTAATTGTCATTGACAGTGTTAAGGTTTTCATACTTACCAGGTCCTACAGATCCCAAATAGCTAGGAGACATCCAAAATGCATACCAAACAAAACTTCGGGCCTCAGAAGGTTAAACACAGGAAGTTGATAGGACAGTCTGGTATATTTGTTTGAAAAACTTATGATGAATAAACAAAAGATAAAACAAGTTGTGCCATGCCTTTTTCACTCTGTGACATTTTTATCTCTTTATATTTATATCTATATCTATATATTGTCGGGGAATTTCACAAAAGGAGTTTGTGCGTCTTTTGCGGCCACAAAACCTGCACAAATAAGACAAAAACAAACTGTTACTCTCAAAGCACATGCAAAGGCTGAAATGCACCCCTAACTGCACTGCCACGCAAATAGTGTCTCGGTGCTCATGTGCTATTTGCAGGTATTTAAATTAGGTAATGTGCATAACTTTGGTGCAAATTTGGCCCATTTCTATGTAAATTAGCCTCATTGCATAAACAGTCCTTTTCACAAAGATCAGCATTGATAGACACACCGTTACAGGAATATTATTAGCATCTTCAGAGAGTTGGTGGTAACTGAAGCGCTCTGACAGACTGGGATACCTGAGATACAGTTTCTCCCTGTCACATTTATATTCCTTGTCGGAAGTTTTAAGGAATGCCTCTGCACCTCATCGGTCAAACCTGTAGCTTGCGGTCTGAAATTTATACTTTGCCATGAGGAAAGTTGTAATCAGACTCAAAAAAAGACAAATTGCACTCAGCTGCAAAACTTATGGCCGTGTTTCCACTGTAAAGTTATTAGCGCCGTGTCTTTTGAGAATCAGACCTTGAGACAGTGGGGTTGCAAGTGATCTGCAATTCGTAGTGCCTCAATCTGTTCTTTGTGAATTCACCCCTGAGTGTAATAATTGCTCGCTCTGTGACTTTATGGAGGCCAGACACCCAGTGAACACTATATTTAACCTCCGGCTGACTTCTGTAAGAGCTCAAGTGATTGTATTTGTCACTTTATGTGATTACCTAAGTTTCCTGCCATCCTTTGTGCCTGCAGGCCCTCATTCAGCTGCCAGTCTACATCTCCCAGTGCGAGGAGGTCAGAGTGTTTTTTGAGACCAGACCTGAAGACCTCAACCCACCCAAGGAGTAAGTACCACAGATGGGCACACATACAGAAAAACACACATATTTCCTCAGCTGTGGAGACCATGAGCAGTGTATACAATGGAAAACACCCGTCATTGTTACCCTGACTGATGTCATGTCATGTCACGTCCTGCCAACATTTGCCCCCAGCCTGCCGCTAATGAGCATTCATTACATCCTGTAATGGATATGATTTCATACTGTTGCACTTCCTGTCAGATTTTGCAAGCAGAAACACATTGAATGGGTCCTTTTTTAAATGCTGAGTTAGCACTCTAGCATGTAGCTACAGCTCAGTTGAGCCACCGGGCTCCAGACAGCTGAGACTGCATGGTTACTCTGAAGGCGTGCAGACCTGCTCCGTTGTCTCTTGTAAATCTCACTCAACACATTAGCGTCATATCCAGCGCTGACAGTTACTATGTGCCAAAACTAAGACATCAGTGGGCAATGAATGCCAGCGTCCAACACACAAGCACGTGTTGACACACACATAACTTCACACACAGGCCTTGGTTACAGATGTGTTGTTATTAAGGTTAGCAGCACCTTCGGGGCAGTGGAGGTCACGGGTGGCTGGTTTCGTAGAGAGCATAATGTGGGGCTCACATTTTGACCCTGGAGATGGATTTTACACCAACTCCTGTCAACTGAGTTATTAGTTTTAACCTCTCTGTCATCACGTACTGATGCGTGGCACCGGGCGTTGAGAAGTTGCTTCAGTCGGCAGGAAATTGAGTTGATAAGTCCGGTGATATATGCCGGGAGTGCATGTAGGGCCAGCAGTAAGCTAGTGCATAAAGAGAGTGGGTTTTCACTTTGCAGGACTTGAAATCTGGATCACTGAAGTAGGAGACTATCACTGTGTCCCAGACTTGATAGTATAACACTGTACTGCTCTGATAATTTAAAGTTAACATAACTTTGAACTATTTTCAAGTTACTATAGGAACAATTAATGAACTTAATCATTACATGTTAGCACCAGCTGAGATGCTCCTGGAGCTGTTGCATCTGTATCCACTTGTGTTGTTTGCATTGTGGGACAATAGTGTCCATTAACACCGCATTCAGAATCTGGTACCTTCAGTATTAATGCTGTTGTTTCAAACATACATCATTTATTCATTTGTTGGCATTACAGCATTGTACTACATACTCAAAAGCAGGGTTAGAGGGTTACAGTAGCATCCACTGTGGACACAGTTACACATTTTTCACTCTTCAGTTATCGCAGAGTTTCTCTGGCACGACTTGGTTCAGGCAGCTGTAGTCTTGCACCTGCACAGAGCAGGTGCGTGTCTGTTTTATATACCACTTGTCCCCCACAGTCACCTTGACATTTAAACTCCATAAAACTGCTGAGACAGTGAAATTTCAAACGTTCCCCCACTTTTGGTTTCCTTTTTAATGAGTACTGTTATGCCTTTGACCCAAAACCTCAGTGTGTAGAATTGTTAAGATTATAACATCTTTCTCAATTTCTGTTTTTTGCTAGTACAAATATGGAAAAATCCCTTTGACAATAATTCCAGCCCTTCATTCACTGCGCACCTGCTGTAGGTCGGCATGTCTTCTGTCTGCAACTATGTTTCGATTCAACAGAGAGAACGCTTTATGGCTTCACATTTTATTTTGAAACATTTTCTCCTGTGAAGTTTGGCGAATTACATCATGTAATGTAATTATTATTATTACATAGTTTGGAAAGCAGCTTAATATGTCTAATCATATTCTTGGCATTAAGCTAATGTCGATCAGGAGTGACTTACACTCAGCGAGCAGCTGGGGGTTCTTGCTCAAGGACAATTAACAGGACACATTGCTGTTATGAGGATTGAATGTGAGACGGGTGCTTGCACCAGCCTCTCATGTTGTCATCTATAATGTGGATAGATTTAATGTCACTTTGAAGTGGGCTGTCTGTAGCAGTCAGGTGGTTTACTGAGGTTGCTGTGTTGCTCATGCCTGTATGTTATTAAAATTGTGTGAATGTGTCGCTCAAAGGAAATGCATCTCTGATCTCAACATTTTTATTAGTGAGACAGCCATAACCCTGTGTTACTCTCCTATAAAAAGAACTGTCTTATCTGTGTGTGATCAGTATGAAAGTACTTCCTACCATAGGCGGATTATGAGTCAATAGGGCCCTGGGCACAGATATGGAAAAGCCCCCACCACCTCTCCTACAGAGTGGCAGGACACAGACTTTGTGGTGGTTTTGCCTCTTTTGTTGTTGTTGTTTTGCATCTCTTTGTAGTTGCTATGTATTTTTTTGTGGTGTTGTGTGTCTCTGGGGTAAGGTTATGCCTTTGTTTGGTTACTCTGCCCTGTTTGTAGGTATTTTATGTCTGGTTGTGGTTCCTTTGCATGTCTTTGTGGTCATTTTGATTCTCTTCCGATAATGAAAATTGGTTGCACATTATCATACAGTAAATCTAAAGCAAGTTTTTAAAACAGTACAAATTTACTTCGACTCAGTCAGCAATTAGCAAAGCTGCGTATTCATGACTGCGTCAGAAGTGGTATTCCAATTATATGAAACACAATAATCTAACACAGAGGCCTTTTTGCAGATAGGAATGGAATTTGTACTTAAAGAATGTGATGGAGTTGTCTTACGTCATGGTTTGTACTATAGTAAATGATGTGATTTCTTTTTCCACCCCTGATATTATGAAACATTGCAAAGACAGTATTATTTGCACATCCAGTCAGTGCACACAGCCAAGAAGAGCTGATGTTTGTGACCTCTTTTTCGAGGAAAACTTTTCCCTCTCTAGTAGCTGTCTACCAGATGCATGATATAAATCAGATGAGGTTACCAAGGACACTTACCTCTTTCCTCCCCCCTACGAAACCCCAAGCATGTGTTGGAAGAGGCAGGGAAGAGGGCGAGCGTTTGCTCAGGGTGGATGAAGATTGTAAAGACCTTGGTTTGTCTTTATTGAAATTAGATCACTTCTCTCTGCTAGTGCAGCCTGTTGTTTGGCCGACTGACAGCAGGGTTGGTGTACAGACACAGCAGCCACTGTGGGGAAAGATTTATCATGGCCTATAAATCTGCTGCACAGAGAGGGACATCTTAGACTTTCTCCTTAAGAGCAGCAAAGTAAGAGGAGAGGGAAAGGAGTACTTACATGTATAGAGGAAGCAGAGACGCAGATAAGATGGGTGAGAAGGGAAGGAGTGTGTGGAAAAGAGGAAGTGTTGCAACAAGGACGGGGCAAGGAAAGGAAGAGGGAAAGCAGGGGAGATCTTAGGGGAAGAAAGTAGAATTAGATGGTGGATGAAGATGGAATAAGAGCTGGATGGAAAGAATGAAGAGGAGGTCATATACGACGAGGGCAGAAGAAGATGAAGGGATGGTAGATGGTGAAGCAAGGAGGGGTAGGGATAGAGGGAGAGGGATTATGAGAGGATGGATTTCATTTAACATTCAAATCAATATTGTATAAATCCTCTGTCGTACAAACCTGTTTAAGGTTTGGCTCCAGGTGTAGAAACTTAATAGCTTTTATTTTAATGGCTCTGCAAGAATCAGAGCCCAGAGTGACTATATCAAAATAATCTCCTGAGGTAGAAGGTTTAAAATATGTCACATCACCTCTTTTCTGTAACAGCAAACCTGTGGAGTCTTTTCTCACTTTCTTTCCTTCGTCATGTGGCTGCCATATGACTCAGCCATAGCTGCCTGATGTGTGCTGCCATGGAAGTTGAAATTGAAGTTGGCCCCACAGAGTACTGCGGAAATGTATAAGTGGGATGATTGATTTGATTTGATACTCTAAGCTAGTTACAGTAAAATAATCTTATTAGGCCAGTGATCCAGGTCAGTATCTCTGTCTGGTGCATTATGTGACCCTGGTTTCACCTCAGATCAAAACGAGCAGACAAACATATGCATACTGTACACACACACATCCCTGCTCTATAATAATCCAGATCATTGGTGCTGCTTTGGCTGGTCTGACTTGGGGTTTCTTTTTATAGAACATTAATGGGCACGCTTACGGGTATAGATTTATTGAGACTTAAGCCTCTGCAATTAACAGCTCTGCCGATCGAACAATGCATTTTATGTGGCTGAGAGCATTCATGTTGATGCAGGGAACGAACAAGCAGTAGTTGCCAAGGAAAATGATCAAGGGGGATGAAGGACTGAGTTAAGTAGACGTGGAAGATGCGAGATGGAAAAAGGAAGGCGGTGGAAGACCATTAAGTAAGAGAGTAATATTTAGATAACAAAGAGGGAGAAACAGACAGAGTGTGAGGGAGAAATACTAAGCATTAGCCACCATTGACTTTTTCGGGGCATCTGGACATTGAATCAGCTCCTGACTGCCGCTGCAGAGTGATGGTCTATTTATCTGGCTAATGTCTAAACCAGACACAGCAGATGCTGTATTGAATTTAACATCAGACTAAATTTCAAAGATCAGCTATCTAGAGGCTCTTTATTCACATCGACCTGCATCACAGAGAAACAGAGACGAATCCTTTTCTCATGTGTCTGAAGCGCATTAATAGATCTAACAGGTTACAATGATGTTAGCAATTACTGTTAATTATTTGCGGGTGTAATCAGTGTGGGTGTTGTGTGGTGGCACCGTGACAAATTCAACAATCAAATGAAACAATTTGAAGAGTGAGCAAATGATATGAATTAAGACTTGATTTAAAAAGCATCATTAGTGCCAGTTTGCCATGCAAAGTTAATAACTGAAACATCAGTTCAGTTCAGTTCATCACTTCAGTACTGGTAACAACAGTGGTGATATGATGAGGTTAATGTACAACTAAACATACTGAAACACCAGAATAATCCTGTCCTTTCTTTATAAGGCTCATTCCTGCATAGTATGGATTAAAAGACAAGCAATCGCTGAATGTAATGAGGTTTTTTTTCAATAATGCGGGCGGCTGTGAATCTTTTTTCAAGTTGGAAGACATCAGTGACATGATGGGAATTAATTTAATAAATACTGGTAGCAGTGTTTGCAGGCCAGGAATATCTCCTCATCTCTGTAAACTGATCTGGTATTTCATGGTGGTAATGGAATCATTTCCCTTTCTTTAACAGGGAACCCATCGGAAAGAAGAAATCAGGTAAGACACAGCTTTAGTTGTGTATTTGAAGTGTAAATGGAGTTAGGTGGCCTTGGTTATGGTGTGTTAGTTTGTCTTTGGAAAAAAAATAGTTTTAAGTTCAACTGTTTTTTTCTGGAATCCACTTCAGTTCATCCATAGTATATAATGTGACATTATCTCCATCTAGTGGTCACAGGCTGTTATACAGGTTAAAAAAAAAAGGATTCTCCTTTGCCAAAATGTTCTTGTTTCATGAACATATTCTGTCTAGACTCAAATGTTTTCCTGGAGTTAACTATTACAGAAACCACCTCTGCCATTGTCTCACTGTTTCTGTTTCTCTCTTTCCTCTACATTCATCTAATATTCTTAAGTTGCATCCATGTCAGTTTTTTTCAGTTTTCTTCTCCATTCATTTTCCTTTCCATTAGGGATTGTGGAGAGAGCGACTACTTTCCTAAAGCGAGGTAGTAAACACTTGGTCGTGCTGTGTGTGTGACCCAGCAGGTTGCTAGTGGCCTGTCCCCCCCCCTCTCCTCCCCTGGCCTGGGCAGGTGGGATGTGGCTCTGTTGCAGGCTTGGGGCTGGCATTGGTTCCCTAAAGGAAGCACACAAAGTAGTGTGGGATCTTTAGACCTTGTGTGGCTCATTTCTCAGGGTGTTTTAAGTGTGGTGTTCTGTTACAGAGTAGGAAAGACTGAAGATAATGAAGGATTTACTGTATGCGGATAGGTTTCATTGCAGAGTCTTAGAGAGTTGATACTAAAGAGTATTTTGTTTGTGTATATTTGTGTGAGTAACAATAAGAGAAAAGGCTTAAAGTTCATTTAAACTAGTTATTTAAAAGTTAACCTTAGTTACTTGGTTTTAGTTTGCCCTGGAAAGCTTGCCTACTGATCTGCTATTGAGCTAATTTTTATCTAATTTGTTAATTCTATGTCCTTTTAAGTTAAACTCAGTCTGATATTAGTTTCAGTTCTGCTTTTGAGAAATGATTGCCATATTAATACTCACATTAGGGCTGGGCAATACAGAGAAAATCAGATACTGCAATATTTTTGACCAGTGTCGTGGACCAAGCAGAAAAGAAAGCACAAAAACACAGGTTTAATGTTAAGAAAAGTGGGTTTATTTTCCCAAAAATAAATTTTACAAAGCAAATGACTAAAGATAATAAAATTAGAGTTATAGGGCCCTAAAAGAGGTCAACTAAACATAACTCCACTGAAAAATAGGGCCAACAAAGCTAGATGTTAACTCAACAAACAGACCTGACAGAATGAGACAATGGGGTAATGTATATAGTGGCTGATCAGACCAACTTAAACAGTAAGGGGAGAATTTACACAAACAATAATTAAGACTAACATAAAAAAAAAACTCCTAATAACCCCCATGATGTCACAGCTCTTGGTGCAGTACTCGGGATGACCTTCTGCATACGAGCAGGTTCCGCCCTCAGCCCCATCTTTTGCCCAGCTCCAAACAGGAAGTGACTTCAGGCAGCTGAAAGACAAAGAGAGATGAATTGATAACTTACAAACGCAAATAGCAAAATGACAAAACAGTGTAAATTAATTGAGCGCACTTTTATAGGGAAAACAGAAAATGCTAATAGATTTTGAAATTAAATAAACTAATCCATCAGGGTTTGTTGTAGACACATTATTAAAGAACATAAGTCAACAGAAAGAGCCAGAGTCTGTGTTGCTGGTTGTATCGTTTCTCAGGCTTCCTTGGTGCTAACATTGGTGGCGGGTCTCAGGGGTGCTGGTTTGTTTCTGTGTGGAAATTACAGCCATGTTGATGATTGACTAAACCCTTTACACTAAATCCACTACCTTTCACTGCCATTCTCCAAATCTCCCATCATTCCTCTGTAAGTTTCCCTCACGCCATCTCTCCAATCACATCCGCTACCTCCTCTGCTACATGTCTGGGTGAATCTCAATGCTGTAGATAAGCCTCCTCTCACTTAAACTTTTTACTCAAAAGCTTCTGTACAAATTTTGACCTTGGAATTATTCTTGGCATTACGTTAAAAATGAGTTGTTCGCCTATCACAGGCATTTTGACTGATTTATCAAGAGCTTTTCAGTGAGGTTTCTTGAAGTGTGTATAAAATCTGACATTTCAAAAGGTCATTTTCCCTTCAGCCAGGGAGATGCAAGAAATTTTAAAGGTCAATATCTCAAAGAGACACAGATGAATCTTGTGATTTTAAGCTCATTTAACATCACATTAACAAATATTAACAAAGATCCTCACTGAAATGCAGAGGGTAATGAGTGGAGGCTTTTTTTTTTTTTTTACATTATTGAGATTTCATCCTCAGCCTATCAAAGGAGTAGAAAGGGGAATTAAAGAGCCATATGAGTCTTGTTCTGATTCGTTCCCCTTTAACAGGTGATGCCACCTCAGCAGACCCTCTCCTCCTCGACCAGTATGTGGCAGTAACAGACTATGAGAAGCAGGAGAGCTCTGAGGTCAGCCTACATGTGGGGCAGGTGGTGGAGGTTATAGAGAAAAATGAGTCTGGTAAGTTCTACACAGCATCCAATAAATGTTTGGGTTTTTTTTTGTTACAAACAGTTTTATTATTATTTATTTATTTTTATTTTTTTAGATATAACACACATTCAAACAGTAATCAAAAAGGGGATGGTGGGAGGATGCAAGGGTGACATACATCGGATCTCATACATCCATTTTGTATTTAAACTAGGGGTTACTATTTTGAAAGTGTAAAGAAGAATGTCTCTTAGTAGACAGGCAACCCATTGTCCATAGGCGCTTGACAGATACTCCAACATCACTGTCCATGATATCACTTATAACTAGAGTGTTTTAACAGCTGGAAGGTCCCACAGTAAGTGAAATAAAGAACCTCGGTTGCCACAATTATGCCAGCATAAATCTTTTTGTCATCCATCTTGAATAATCTATCAGGAGTAATATATGCTCTGCACAGAATCTTATATTGTATAATCCTAAATCTCACACATTTAGAGGATCTCAAAGCTGACTTCCAAATTATGTTCCACCAGGAAGCAGTCAGAGATGTGTTAGGATCATGCTTCCAAGCCAGCCGGACAGAAAAATATGCATCATGGGCAGCTATGGACATTATGTTATAGATTTCTGAGACCTCACCTACTCCCAGAGTTGCCTTCTTTGGAAGCTTATCCCACTCTGGACATGAGGCAGCCGCTCCCTCTTCACATTTCTTAGGGGGACGTTTCTCACCAGGTAATAGCTCAGTCCATAGGGACTTGGGTTGGGAACCGGAGGGTCGCCGGCTGGACCAAATGCGGAGCGTGGACTGGTGGCTGGAGAGGTGCCAGTTCACCTCCTGGGCACTGCCGGGGTGCCCTTGAGCAAGGCACTGAACCCCCCAACTGCTCGGGGCGCCTGACCAAGGCAGCCCCCTCACTCTGACATCTCTGCACTTTGTGCATGTATAGGTCCTGTTTGTGCATGTTTGTGTATTTCGGACCTGTGTGTTAATGACAACGGAGTGAAAAAATTGAATTTCCCCTCAGGGGGATTAATAAAGTATATAAAATTAAAAATAAATTAAATTATTTAAAATAGAAGATAATTGAGCATATGTTAAGAAATGAGAGTCCAAGAGGCCAAACTGAATTTTAAGTTTTTGAAATGGAAGCATTTTTCTACTAAATATCTGTCCAACTGTAGTAATGCCAAGTCCCTGCCATAAATACTACTAAAGGTGTTTCCACTGGCCGAAAAAATGGGGTTACACCAGAGGTGTCAGGATGGAAGAGAGAGCTTTCAATGCTAAGTCTCTTGTGCAGCTACATGAAAACCTAATACTAACACTATCTAGCAGGGGTGGTGGTTTTGGAGAGCACCACAATGATACCAAGGATGTGTTCTTATTTACAGATATGATAGTTTTCTCCAACCACTGCCAGCTGCCCAGCCTCAGATTTTTAGGCCCGAGTCAATAGATATTTTGCATTGTATGAAAGATAACACTGAAATATATCTGGGACAAGCGTCCAGTATACTTTGAATTGTTTTCTAAAGTTCAGACTGTGCAAGGGTTGCTGGTTTGCTTGTTGTATAGTGGAAACATCAGCCTCAGTTGACAGCTGTGATGTCTTTGACGAAGATGCTAAATTAGATGGTGTGGGAATCGTAATGTTCCTCAAATTAATACATGAAAAACACAAGTTCCACACTTCCATCATGTCTCACACAGGGTCAGCCGCTGTTTGAGATTTGACTGGCACTTTTTTAATTGCGTCTTCTTGTTGCGCCCTCTTCTTCTGCAATGGTTTAATAACACCAGACCAGAGACCAGACTACAAATGATGAATCTTGATGTGCCCAGCTCCTGATATGTGCATTACAGCAGTGGATGGAAACGTGCAATTATTCACAATTTCTTTTGTTGACTTTCTGCAAAGTCTGTTAAAATTAAACCGACATTTGTACGGAAACTTGACTTGTATGTAACAAGTATTTGGAAGATAAACCTGAAAGAATACAAATATCCATCATGCATTTCAACAATGAATTACTGCAAATCTTTAACTTGAATAGAATTTTCTCTTGATATTGTTTATATTCTTTTCATTTAGGGTGGTGGTTTGTCAGCTCAGATGATGCCCAGGGCTGGGTTCCTGCCACCTGCCTTGAAGCACAGGATGACCCCGATGACTTCTCTTTTCCAGGGGAAGAAGGTACACATAACTTTCCACCTAGCTGCTATTATTTCAGATATGATTCCCTAATGGAAAAGTTTAGGATTTAAAGTGCCCATCAAGCATTTACTCAAACCTCATTTACTCTCAAACCCAACTGTGTGTGTACGTTTTCTTAACCTTTGAATAATAAGAGCACGTAGAAGTAAAACAGAACTTTTATGCAATTTTGACAAAAAATTCTTGTGCGTTGGTGTGACAATGCTAGTGTATAGGCAATGCGTGCGAGTGTTTTGATGCACATTATATCCTGCAGATGTTTGTTGCCCTCAAGAACAGAAATATGAATGATATATGTTACATGTATAAAATATATGTTAAATGACACAGGGAGGGAAAAACATCTGTGACGTGAATTGGGGTGAGAATAAAAAGAAAAACTCAATGTAGATGTTCAAAGAATGATGCTGGTAATATACTGTAATGATACAGTGCAGCACATGGTAGGAGCATTACTAAGTAAGGAACAGTACCCAGCCAATATGCAAATTACAGACCATAATTCAAGTTTTGGCCAGCCTGAGAAATACATGGTTTAAAAGTGCACACTGAGCAGGCTGCCCTGTCCTTGTTGGGCAGGTCATTCCTCAGAGACCTGGAATTACAGATGCATTGACATTATCATAGACATAGAAATATAGTACAAAAAGAGAAGAAAACTAGACTAGACCTCAGCCGAGTCTAAATGCTCTATCTCGCAATGTTAATGAGAAAAAACAACTTGTGTATGTGCCCAGTGGATGGATCTGCTCCACAATCTCACGGGTTCTCTCCTGACCCATGCTACACCCTTCCACCAACTTTCATGAAAGTCGTGCCATTAGAATTCTCATAATCGTGCTGACAAACAAACAAAACCGCTAACATAACCTCCTTGGCTAAAGGAATAATCAATCAGCAATTCAGCCAGTACATTATTAAGTATGACCAAGTTTTCCCTATGCTTGTCAGTACCAGGTCTGCAAGTCTTCCAATCATGAGAGTGATTTAATGACATAGTCCTAAGACAAAGCTCAGGGCCAACATCACCCCACAGATCATAATTAACCATGAAGTATGTGGTCTATAACCTGCTATTAAACTAACACGTTTTAGGTTAAGATATCTTTTTAAGCAGCACCAATAGTCTCCAACATACTGGTCAGGACAGCGCAGAGGGTTTGAGACAGGAAAGGGGGTAAAAAGGGAAATAAATATGCCATCCAACATGGATGGAATCTGTAACACTCTGATGAAAACAGCTAAAATGTGCACAAACCTAGAGGGATTATCTTGTCAGTAAATGGGTAAAACAGCACTGGGCCTGCCAGGTGTAGTGCTTTGATTTCGACTAGGCCCACCAATACTGAAAATGCTTTCATTTAGGATGAAAACATCCTCCAGATGGCATATGTAATGTTCACTTCCTATTTTGCCCCACTTACTGTGCTGGGATGTCAGTGCCTCGGAGATTCTGGTCACTGCCAAGGCACGTGGGTCGTCGCAGAACTTTAGGGGATCTATTCAGCACAGGCTTTGGGCAAGGTGGAGCGCACGCCTTTCTTTTCCCCCTATTCTAAATGTGTGTGTGCGTGTGTGTGTGTGTGTGTGCGCGTGTGTGTGTGTGCGCGCACACATGCATACACAAGTGTGTGCATGTTTGTTTGTTGATGTGTATGCATGAAATGTTTGTTGCATGAGACATCCAAGCATGTCAATTAAATCCTTGCATGCAAAGTGGATTGTGTATTTTTATTCCATGTGAATAAAAAGATAAATTGATTAAAAAACGATTTATCATCTTATCATCATTCATTGAAAACATTAAACACACTGTAGTATTGCATATAATACCAATAATATAGAATAATAGTAGAAATAATACTTAGAATAGTAGACATGGCTGCATTTCTAGTACAGTAACAAGTTTGTCCTGTTTGTGGTTAATATTTGTGGAGGTTGTATGTGTGTTTTGTGTGTTGCACATGTGTGTATCTTACATCTTCTCCCTCCACAAGATGCTGCTCAAGCCTTGCCTCATTTAATCAGTTGGCTAATGTAAAACTAATGCACCTCTATACCAATTATAGTCTCTCATCCTAAATTATATAAGGATTATTGTGATGGAGAAATGATTCTGAGCCTTTTCTTTGAATGGTTGCAGACATTTTTACTGTATACCTTTAACAAGTTTAAATCACTTTATAAATGCAGCACTACACTCTGACACCTTAACTGCAGTTTGAATGTTAAAGTTAAAGTTACAGGAAAGCAATTGTAATCCAAATGTGCCCCTGTGTGCTTTGTCTCCCATGCTATTATCCTACATCAGCATTTATTTGTGCTCTTTGTGAACCTATGCACAGTAATCTTCAAAGCAGACATGCTCTTATATCTAACAATGTTGTCTTTTTATGACTCCAGAGGAGAAGTATTCAGTGATTTACCCGTACTCGGCCAGGGACCAGGATGAGATCGACCTGGAGAGAGGCATGATTGTCGAGGTGATTCAGAAGAACCTGGAGGGCTGGTGGAAGATCAGGTATAAAATCAATTACCTTAACTCTGGAAAAGTAAATATTATGAAGTCTTGGGGTGCTTTCATACCTGCCCTGTTTGGTTCGGTTCAATCAAACTCAAGTTCATTTGCCCCCTAAATGCGGTTTGTTTGGGCAGGTGTGAACACAACAATCTCACTTGTGTGTGCACCAAAAATATTGGACCTAGACCTTCTTGAAGAGGTGGTCTCGGTCCGGTTACAAATGAACTCTGGTGCGGTTCGTTTGTGGTGAGAATGTGTAACGACCTCGATCCGAACCAACTGCAGTCACATGACACATTGTTTGGGTTAAACATGAGCATGTTACAGTCCTGGAGGATTATTAATGTGCACCTCCTCCTGTACTGCCTTAATATGCACATTCAGCACATCCAATGCATCAAAACATTGTTTTCTATTTGGAGCCGCGCCTCGTTTTCAAACTGTATGGTTTGACTAAAATGAACAATGACAGCAATATAGTCCACGATGAGCAGCGCTAAAATCATCCTGCGTAGTTGTCCCTCCATTGTGACATTAGAAAGTGTCACATTTATCTTGCAAGTGTACTCTTCTTCAACGTTTTGTTTACTTCCTGGATTTTTCCCGTATGGGAATTCTGACCAATCAAGAGCAGCTTTCTCAAGCAAGGCATTTGATCTGGTCCGCTTGTAAATGCTGCCGTGAGAACACGAACCAACTCTAGGGAATTATGCAACTTTGTAACAAAATTAGTCCCTGATACGGATCAAAGCAAGACAACTCTAGGTCTGAAAGCACCCTTAATTTACTAATGAGACAAGTACATGTATTTAAAAACATGAATTGATATCATATCCTACATAATATTTTTGGGGAAAAAAATCCTTAACCAACTTATTTCATTGTACAGACTGCCAGTAAAGTCTACCCAGGCAGTTTTTTTCAGCCACTGATTGTACATCTCTTCTCCGCTCAGGTACCAGGGCCGTGAGGGCTGGGCCCCAGCCTCCTACCTGAAGAAGACTGACATCCAGGGCCAGAAGCAGTCAGCAGGCGCTGGTGTTCATGCCAGCACCAATGACCTAGATGGGTTTTCTAAACAGAACCAGCAAAACAACGCAGCCAAAGAGAACCGAGACAACAGCCAAAAAGAAAACAGACTCTCATTTTTTTCTGACAGCAAAAGCAGTAAGTGAACTCCAAATCCAATAAACTGTTTTACGACTGCTATGCAAGTATATTACTTAACAAAATTATTAATTGCATAATGTCTTTTCCCTCCACAGAAGTGGGAGCAAGACACAGACCTCCTCCACGCAGAGATCTTACCATTGTAAGAGATCCAATTCAAATCTCTAACACACACAGTGGGGATTTCTGTTTTGGAAAATAGCTCAGTTTTTCTCAACAAAATCTTTATGTGTCTGCTCACATTCTACAGCCACGTGGTACAAACCTACCCAAGCCACCTGTACCTCCTCAGGTTGAGGAAGAGTTCTACACCATAGCAGACTTCCAGACTACCATCCCTGATGGTATTAGCTTCCAAGCAGGAATCAAAGTTGAGGTGGGTCAGGAACTTCCCAAAGATGTACTAAAATTAAGAATGTAGGGGAACTTTTTGTTTGAGTAAAGATTTGTAGATTTGTCTTTTTATTTACTTGCATCATTCAATTTTAAGATTAAAAGTAAAATACAATGACTCCTTTTTTTTTTGTTGTTTGTTTTTAACCCACCAGGTGATCGAGAAGAATAGTGGTGGTTGGTGGTACATCCAGATAGATGACAAAGAGGGCTGGGCCCCTGCCACCTTTATCGACAAGTACAAGAAGACCAGTAATGCCCTGCGACCTAATTTCCTTGCCCCTCTGCCCAATGAGATGGAGAAGCTGAGACTTGAAGACGGTGGTTCTTCAGGCACAGACGACAGCTGGTCCAAGCCTTTACCAGATGAGCCAACCACAGCCCCTGACTCCTGTGCCCGGCCTAAGCTGAGAGATTGGAAGTCCGGTGCCAGCAAGACTGGGCCTTTACCACCAGCCCCAGCCGCCCCTCCAGCTGAAGAGAAACCGGCTCTGCCACCTCGTAGGGAGTCCATTAATAAGAGCTTTGAATTGGAGGTATCCGAGAAAGTGAGGGTTGATCATTCCAAACCTTTGCCTCCAAAGCCCCCAGCTCCTGGGGTCATAATGCCACTGGTTACACCCAAAGCACCCCCCTTCAAACAGGACAAACCACCAGAGACCAAGAAAGAAGATAAGAGCAAAGCTCTTCACCTCCGAAATGAGATGGGTCTTGAATGTGGCCACAAGATCTCTGCCAAAGAGGTGAAGAAGTTTAATCTGAAACCCGTACCTAAACAGCCACCAAAACCCAAAGCAGAGGTGCAGGAGGAGAAACCAGAGGTAGCTGGTCCAGCAGTGTTCATGAAGCCGAAGCCAGTGATCCGACCTAAACCTGCCCCAGCTGCAAAGCCAGATCCTCCGGCTGAGAACAAACTAGACATCACCAACCTGAGAAGCAAGCTGAGGCCATCGAAACCTGCGGATCCTGGCTCCGCGTCAGCTGAGGTGAACCATCAAAATGACACCACAGTAAATAGTTCCCATCCCAGTGCCCCCTCTAGTTCCCCCCCAATTCATATCCCTACTCTCAACAATGGTAAGCACTGCGACGAGCCAAAACTTCCCCCAAAACACATGAATGGTCATAGCCAGGAGAGCTCATCACCCCCTGCAAAACCAGCAGTGCCCCCCCACAAGGATCCCCCACAGAGACCCCCTGCCATGGCTCCAAGGAGACCTCCTCCTCCCAAGAAGACCGACCCATCCAGCCCGACTGAGCCCAAAGCTCCAGCCCCTCTAAGAGAAATCCAGGATCCTCCCAAGGGCCCGGCACCTCAACTCAGCAGACCCCCTCCCCCTAAACCCAAAGCATTTGCTCAGGCACCTCCAAGCAAAGAGAAAGAAGAGCCCAAAATGAATAAAGTCCCAATTCCTCCCAAGCCCCAGGTGAAGAGTGAGAAGCCGGGGCCGCCAAAGGACAAGCTTCCACCTTTACTCATGGAGCCCAGTAAGGATGAGCTGTATCTAGCTGTGGCGGACTTTGAAGGGGATGACCAAACATCCAGCTTCAAGGTGGGTACGGTGTTTGAGGTTCTGGAAAAAAACAGCAGCGGCTGGTGGTTCTGTAAAAATGTAGGACAAGACGTTGAGAGCTGGATTCCCTCAAATTACCTGAGCAAGAAACCTTAGTGTGTTGCCATATGAATAAATAAACAAACTAATGATTTAAATGAACAAAATATCACTACTTTGTAGCTTAATAGCATCTTTTTTTAATTTATAGGTACCTTTTGTTTTTTTAAAGTGACATGTTTTTGTTATGTTGCATTTTGATAAAAAAAAAAAAAATTCTACCTAAACTGAACCAGCAATAACACATGACCTTGTTGGGTCTTGTGATGTTTACTTTTGTCTTTATCGTCGTTTTACATTTAAAAGAAAGTAAGTTGCTTTTGTTGCCATATGCTAGTCTCAGCCTTTGTCAGTCTTGCCAATAAATAGGCTAGACGCTAGAGCAGCAGTAAATGTATCTCCACCCATGCCTTCTATGATATGGTGCCTCTATATTATATGCAAAGTGCTTCAGTGCTTAATATACTGTATGCAACTGTAGGCATAGTCCTTGTTGGAAACTAAAAAACCTTTGACTAAAAATCTACATCCCAGGATAAAACACTAGTTGTTCAAATCCAGCAGTAGACAAAAAAAAAAATCATATATCCCTTAAATAAAGGCTGCACATGAACTCACTGGGGGAGTTCAATGACTACATCTGGGCTCTCAAGTGCTATTAGCAATTACTAAAAGAGATGTCTTTGCCAAGTAGAAGTGCTGTTTGTTATACAAGAAACATGCATATTCGTTTTTGTGCTATTGTAATGCTTTTCATCGTGGACTGCATAATTCATGTTGCAGTGACTTGTAAAGGTGTGCACTTTTTCAGTCATTTCATATGAGATCACTTTGGGGTTTGCACATGCTGAAGGAAGCCAGAGTGCATTGTTTTTTTTAGTTTGACATTTGTATTAGCAATGTTCTTTTTTTATACGCACTGTAAAAAAAAAAAAAAAAAAATCCACCAATGTAAAGATGAGACTGACAAGTTGAAAAGAAGCTCTCTGTCAAAGTATTTTAACATGATTATGTTATGTTACACCCAAACAATAAGTGAAATGTGACTTGCAGAGCACATCTGTCTGTACCAGATGTCTGACCTAAGAAATAAGTGATTACATGTTTTGTGCAATGATTTACAGTATTGTAAGTGTACAGTCTGTTCATAACCGTGGTTTGGTGCTCAAATAACAGCGAAAGGACGACCATTGTATAAAAATAATGTTTTACATAAATGCTTGACTGGTCTCAAGCATGGTCAGTATAGCAAATTATTTTTTATTGTACAGAAATGAGAGGCATATCATAGCTGTTGTCACTTTTTCTTTGATGGTCCATCTGTAAGGTCTTTAACTCTGTACTGATGAAGGGATTAGAGGAAGAAAGAGCCAAGAAGGAGCTGTGTTTGTAGGTTTATGGGGAAATACAGAGGGTTGTGTCATTTTTGTTTCTGTGTCTGTCGAGATACAAAAAGTCACTCAAGAAAAGTATGTGACACAACTGGCTGCTAATGTCACACCAAGTGGTCCAGAAATTGTTGTCTACTATTCATTTTTTGAATGAAGCGTTAGGTTTACGAAACAGTTGATAAGCAAAATTGGAACATAAAAATGTACTGTACATTCATGGTTCTCTAAACAATCAGACAAGGCTACAAGCTGTAACTCTGCTTCTAGTCGCTATATTATTCCACCTTCCAGCTATGTTTTATAAAGAAAGGACAGAATGTTACCAACTACTAAGAAGAAATTGTATAATTGAGGAGAAAAAGAAGGAAGCTACAGTACAATGTAAGGCAAATGTATGGGTTGATGGTGTCATCATTTCAGTATTGTAATCTTATTTACTTTTTTTGCTATGTATTTTTCATTACATTGTGTCTTCTTTTACTTAATTCAATAAAAGTTTAAGATTTTTCAGTTCAGCTGTCTTACTGTGTCTGAATTGGTATCTTAAGATCCCCCCAAAAATGTTTATTTATCTTTTACTTTTTTGTTTGTTTTTAATTTTTTTCACTCAATATGTTTATCGTTAGGTACCCTGTAGAGTTTTTTGACAACGAGTAGCATTATGGAGCTGCGTTTTTTACCAGTCGGTCCTTGTTATGTCTACATCACGCACACAGGTGGTGTGATTCACATACACTCCTGTCAGTTTCATTCAAGAAATAACCCTTTCATGCTTTCCCACTGCTTAACAGTTGGTGGGGGCACAAAGGAACAAGTGAATTCTCAGCAAAGGCAGTGAAAAAAAATACTCCTAGCCAATGAACATGAATTTAAACAATAATTTACATACAATATCGATGGATCCAGAGACTGAGGTTGTGGGTTTTATCCTGATTGAACTGAGGAAAAAATCTAATAAAAAAAGTAAATTTAAAGTAATTTTTGGCATACTATGCTACGACTTTTTTTCATGATTTTGAACAACATACTATACTATGACATTTTTTCATGATTTTGGATGACATACAGTACTATACTGTGACATTTTTTCATTATTTTGGATGACATACTATACTATGACTTTTTTTTCATGATTTTAAACAACAGTATACTATGACATTTTTTCATGATTTTGGACATCATACTATACTATGACTTTTTTTTCATGATTTTGGACGACATACTATGCTCTGACATTTTTTCATGATTTTGGACGACATACTATGCTATGACTTTTTTCATGATTTTGGACGACATACTATACTATGACTTTTTTTCATGATTTTGAACGACATACTATACTATGACTTTTTTTTCATGATTTTGAACAACATACTATACTATGACTTTTTTTTCATGATTTTGGACAACATACTATACTATGACTTTATTTCATGATTTTGAACAACATAGTATACTATGACATTTTTTCATGATTTTGGACAACAAACTATGCTCTGACATTTTTTCATGATTTTGGATGACATACTATGCTATGACTTTTTTCATGATTTTGAACGACATGCTATACTATGACTTTATTTCATGATTTTGAACAACATACTATACTATGACTTTTTTCATGATTTTGGACAACAAACTATGCTCTGACATTTTTTCATGATTTTGGATGACATACTATACTATGATGTTTTTCATGATTTTGGACGACATACTATACTATGACTTTTTTTCATGATTTTGAACAACATACTATACTTTGACTTTTTTTCATGATTTTGGACGACATACTTTACTATGATGTTTTTCATGATTTTGGACGACATACTATACTATGACTTTTTTTCATGATTTTGGACAACACTATACTATGACTTTTTTTCATGATTTTGGACGACATACTATACTATGACTTTTTTTCATGATTTTGAACAACATAGTATACTATGACTTTTTTTCATGATTTTGGACAACATACTATACTATGACTTTTTTCATGATTTAGAACATACTATATTAGTCGTTTTTTTCATTATTTTGGACAACATACTTTACTATGACTTTTTTTTCCACTATTTTGAACAACATACTATACTATGACTTTTTTTTCATGATTTCGGACAACATACTATGACTTTTTTCATGATTTTGAACAACATACTATATTAGTTGTTTTTTCATGATTTTGAACAACATGCTGTACTATGACTTTTTTCATGATTTTGGACGACATACTATACTATGACTTTATTTCATGATTTTGAACAACAGAATATACTGTGACTTTATTTCATGATTTTGAACAACATACTATACTATGACATTTTTTCATTATTTTGGACGACATACTATACTATGACTTTATTTCATGATTTTGGACAACATACTATGCTATGACATTTTTTCATGATTTTGAACAACATACTATACTCTGACTTTATTTCATGATTTTGGACAACATACTATACTATGACATTTTTTCATGATTTTGGATGACATACTATACTATGACTTTTTTTCATGATTTTGAACAACATACTATACTATGACATTTTTTCATGACTTTTTTTCATTATTTTGGACGACATACTATACTTTGACTTTTTTTCATTATTTTGGACGGCATACTATACTATTACTTTATTTCATGATTTTGAACAACATACTATACTATGACTTTTTTTCATGATTTTGAACAACATACTATACTATGACATTTTTTCATTATTTTGAACAACATACTATACTATGACATTTTTTCATGATTTTGGATGACATACTATACTATGACTTTTTTTCCCACTATTTTGAACAACATACTATACTATGACTTTTTTTCATGATTTTGGATGACATACTATGACTTTTTTTCATTATTTTGGACGACATACTGTACTATGATGTTTTTTCATGATTTTGAACAACATACTATACTATGACTTTATTTCATGATTTTGGACAACATACTATACTATGACTTTTTTTCGTGATTTTGGATGACATACTATACTATGACTTTTTTATGATTTTGGACGACATACTATACTATGCCTTTTTTAATCGTTTTGGACGACATACTATACTATGACTTTTTTCATGATTTTGAACATCATACTATACTATGACATTTTGTCATGATTTTGAACAACATACTATACTATGACTTTATTTCATGATTTTGAACAATATACTGTGTTATGACTTTTTTTCATGATTTTGGACAACATACTATACTATGACATTTTTTCTTGATTTTGGATGACATACTATGCCATGACTTTTTTATGATTTTGGACGACATACTATACTATGACTTTTTTCATGATTTTGAACAACATACTATACTATGGCTTTTTTTTTACAATTATGTACGACATACTATACTATGACTGTTTTTCATGATTTTGAACAACATAGTATACTATGACGTTTTTTCTTGATTTTGGATGACATACTATACCATGACTTTTTTATGATTTTGGACGACATACTATACTATGACTTTTTTTCACAATTTTGTACGACATACTATACCATGACTTTTTTATGATTTTGAACAACATACTATACTATGACTTTTTTTCACAATTTTGTACGACATACTATACTATGACTTTTTTTCATGATTTTGAACAACATACTATACTATGACTTTTTTTTCACAATTTTGTACGACATACTATACTATGACTGTTTTTCATGATTTTGAACAACATAGTATACTATGACGTTTTTTCGTGATTTTGGATGACATACTATGCTATGACTTTTTTAATGGTTTTGGATGACATGCTATACTATGACTTTTTTTCATGGTTTTGGACGACATACTATGACATTTTCTCATGATATTGGACGACATACTATACTATGACTTTTTCCACAATTTTGTACGACATACTATACTCTGACTTTATTTCATGATTTTGGACAACATACTATACTATGACGTTTTTTCATGATTGTGGATGACATACTATACTATGACTTTTTTTCATGATTTAGGTTGACTATATGGTATGACAATTTATGGCATACTATATTATTAGGATGTCTTTGCGACTTACTTTTAAGGTTTACTTTAATACAGAATATTTTATGGCATATTACACTATTTTCAATCTCAAAATACACTATAACTCTTTATGTCATTTTACATACATAGCATGGATATGTCTTTAGCATAACTATGATTTTTTTGTCCCATTTGCCAGACTTTTGTATGGCATACTGTAAGATTAATGTTTTATGGCATTTCTTAAAACATTACTTACATAACATTTTTTGTAGCACACCGTACTTTAACATTTTTTTGTGACATACTATGCAATCGTTTTTTTATGACAAACTATAATGTATTTTTTTATTGCATATTATACTGTCACACAATACTATGGCTTTTTTATGACATAATATTAAGTTTTTATGGCATGGTGTTCTATGACCTTTTGGTGACATACTATAATATGACATTTGTAAGACTTCCTTTGACATACTATAATATTTTTAACCTATGCTATACTGTAACATTTTAATTACATTTTTATGACTCACAATACTGTAAACTTATGATACTTTGACTTTTTTTATAACATGCTGTTGTCTTGAAATGTTTTATGTTACTATGAGATTTTTTTTTACTATACTAATAATCAATGTATAGTCATTGTAAATAAAGTGTGTTGCTGATATTAGAACTCAAAATGGCGATTGGGTTTTAAAATGTATGGAAAGAATCTTACTGAATGGAACTTCAGGAATCCTGCACATAACCTAACAGGTGATCCTTCTCTTGCCCTCTATTAAATGTCCAACTTTTCTCTCAGCTTAGTCTTCCACATTCAGAATGACCATGCTGATGGTATTAATGATACTATTACAGGAATAAGAGCCTCCACTGCAATCCACTAATTAGAAAATCTGCCTTTATTAAGTTATTTACAACAGTGGTTCCTTCTGATACAGTTTCATTCACACTTATAACCCCTCCATACATACGATGTCATGTAAACTGAGGCAGAGAGGCCTACATAGAGCCATTAAACATGACAGACAAGATCAATTTTACAACAAACGTAAATACTTCTGAGAGACTGTGAGAGGGAGAGAAAGATTAAGCTGTACCTGATTGCTGACCTGGTTTAACGTAAACCTGCAGGCCAAACTGCTCTAAAAGAAGCTCACTCAAAAAGGCAACAAGTTCCTCAGCTGCAAACTTTAGTTTTCAGTTTAAGGTTTAACATCTAGACATATCTCACAGGCTGGATTGTTGCACTCCCTTAAAAATGACATGAAGAGTTACGTTCCAAAATCAGCTCAACGTTTGAAAAATGAATCTGTTACCCAAGTACTCAAGATTATAAAGATAGAATGATTTTTACGCAATGCCATTTCTTTCAAAATGTTGATAGATCTGTTTTTGGAGTTCAACTCTTCATATTATTCCCCCTCTCAGTGCAAAGGAAGGCAAAGATTAAGAAAAATAAACCTCTTTATGCTTAGCAAAGACATACAT